GAGAGAGAGAGAGAGAGAGAGAGAGAGAGAAGACTTAAATGCAAAATTGGAATTCTAAACTAATTAAAATAACTTGAAATCATATTAATTTTATAAGAAATCATGTTTACTATTTTACCCTTATATTTATTATAAAAAATCATTTTAATTATTCTGAATGATTGATCCACGTTGTATCTTACGGTTACCACAAACTAAATAGTTTTCTTTTAGTTGTTATTACTAAATTGAGTATACAAGAAGTAAACCCTCAAATCAGTTTTTTAATATGATATTTTCTTAAACGTGAAACCTTTTTCTATAACATGTTGTATAAAATATAATAAAGACCAGTTTATCATGAATTTGGTAACCACCTGTTTTTTTGTTTTGTTTCTAAAAGTTAAAAACTGATTTAATTTTGTTAATATCTACAAGTTTTAAAAATTATCTATAAATAATTAACTTCTAGATATAATATAAATTGAGTGACGACTTTTTAAACGTGATTTATTGGAATTTTGTCTTGTAATGATTGACATGAATAAATTATAAAAAGAACAAACCAACCCATTATTATTATTATTAATTAACATATTTAATGAAAAAGGTATTTAAAGATAACCCACAAAGGTTGTGTTATTTAATTTATGTTATGGAATTGGAATTTATTAATTATTTAATTTATGTTATGGAAATGGAATTTATTAATTATTTAATTTATGTTATGGAATTGGAATTTATTAACAAGTAGAAGGCGGAATATTTGATTACCGTTAATCTTAACCGGTTTTATACGAGATCTGTTTTTAAGGATATCAATTTTAAGGGGTATTTTTAGGTTACTTGGCGGTTAAGACTAGCGGAAAGGTGTAAGATCGAATGATACGAAGGTATGTCTTGTATTTCGGCAACCCTTTCACTAACTGAGTTACAAGTCAGAGACGAGACGTAAAATAAAGCAACAAATGTTTTCACTTTTCAATTATTTAACAAAAAATCGTATTTTTATTGTACTTTTTTGTTTTTAACTTTAGATACGATGGCCGGCAAATCACGAAGAAAACAAATATTTTCTTCATCGCACAATAAATATCGACAATAAAAAATGCATAGTGTTTTGAGTATATCTAATCATTACATTTTTGTAACTAAATATATAAAAAATTTAAATTTTCTATAATTAAAGATAGAATAGAAAAGTAAACATTTATTTTTAAAATGAACATTTTAGAATAAACTAAAAATAAAAATGTAATCATTCTTTTGAAAAGCAAACAACAAACCATATATTAAACCAAAATCAAGATATAAAGAGGGGTGGGGCTAGCTTTATGCAAGTGGTAGAAAGCACCCAAAAGACAAACAAAAAACGAAGCTAAGCAGCAACAGAAAACTCAAAAACGAAGCAGAGAAAACAGGACTAGCCAGGAGAGCCAAACCCCCTACACCTCCGCCCACGACAAGGAGAAACCTTTTGCCTCGCTTGGAAATCCAACGGAACGAGAGGTTTTGGAGGGGAAAAATGATCGACGACCTCAAATGGGCCATTTGAGAAAACTCGTTTGTCATGATAGTTCCAAATCAAGTACAAAGTTGTCCACAAAACTGACTTACAAATTTGACATCTTGAGCTTGAAATGGCGAGAGAATCTGAACTATCTAGCAGCTCACTCAAAGTAATAGAAGGGAACAACAACCACCCCATCATTTGAACACATCCACCCATAACGAAAAGCTAGAAGGACACTTCAACAGGCAATGCACGATGGTTTGCTCAACATTCTCGCAGCAAGGATAAAGGATAGAGTAGAGATCAATCCCTTCATCGTAGAGCAATGACCGAACCAGAAGTCTCCCCTATCAGAAACGCCACATGAAGACACAAACCTTTCGAGGCACACAAGAGCTCCAAATAGTAGGAATTAAGTTCCCAAAAACCTGCAAAAACTTGTCATCAATCAAGCATCTTAAAGATGATACCAAAAAGATCCCATCTTTTTCAAGTCTTCATACCCAACAATCTTGATTATTAGGTCTAAAAACAACAAGAGTAAGTATAGAGTTCAACGCCTCTAAATCACTGAGCGATCGACCCTTAGGCGGCCTAGACCACGCCTACAAACCACAGAATGTATCAAACTCTCTATTAAAATATTCACCACCTCTGTCTGATCGAAGTATTTTGATTCATTTTTCAAGTTGATTTTCTACTTCAGCTTTGTATAATTTAAAAGCCTCAAAAGCTTCATCTTTTGAGTGTAATAAGTAAACATGTAAAAATCGGCTGAAATCAACACAAAATGTAATGAAATATCTTTTACCTCCACGAGTAAGAATTCCATTTAATTCGCAAATGCCGGAATGAATTAACTCTAAAATTGAAGTGTCTCGTTTAACTGAAGGAAAATGTTTCTTTGTAAACTTTGATTTTACACAAGTTTCACATTTTCCAAAATCCTTGTTGTCAATTTTGATCAATCCTTTATTTTGCATTTTTTTCAATATTTTTTACATTTGTATGTGTCAAACGTTTGTGCCATAAAGAGATAGAACAAGCAAAATAATTCAAAGGATTAACTTTATTGATAGAGTCGGGAATTACATCGATTGTAGAAACGAAAAAACCAACTACTTGATCAGTTATACCATTAACATTACTACTCACAGATCCAATCGGTCCGGCCTCATCATCATCCTCCCTCAAATTTAGGCGATACAAGCCGAGATGGTAGTATCCCTTACCAACAAAAAATTTTCTTTTGTAAATCACGAGCTTTATAGACTCTAAGTTGAGTCCAAACCCGTTTTCATCGAGTTTTGAAATAGAAACTAGATTCTTGTTGATAGAAGGCACATGAAGAACATCTTAGAGGGTGACAGTCTTGCCGGAAGTGAATTTGAGTAGTATTGTACCCATACCAACGACATCCGCTCGGCCGTTGTTTGTCACTCTCACTTGCTTTTCTTCTCTCACTAGTCCATAGGTAATAAACATAGATCTGGTGCACACACATGAATTGTGGCACCAGTGTCTAAGTACCAGCCACCTCGACTTGCCACAATCCTGGTTAAAGCCTCGGAAATCATGTCGATCTCATCTTTGTGTAGGTTTGCCACAAGATTCTGAATGTCCTCAACTGTATTCGCAGTTTGGGGTCCGGACTTCCTGTGTTTGCATTCCCTAGCATAATGTCCTGCCTCTCCGTACACGTGAAACTTTCCGACCCTTTTCAAATGTGGGCCAGAATTGGAGTGTTGATCTGGCCTCTTGAAACCTTTCTTTTGAGGACCCGCATTCCACCTTTTGCTTAATCCCCCATTGTTTTGTCCCCCAAACTTTCATTTTCCTTTGCTACCAGCCTGCACGCTGTTAGCACTCAAAATCGACTTGACTCTCTTATCCCAATTTCGAGACTCTTCCTCGATCCTCAAATGTTTTAGCAAATCATCTAAAGAATAGTCTTCAAACTTATGCATCATGCGTTTTGAAAAATCCTTCCAAGATGGGGGGCAGTTTATCAATGACCACACCTACTTGGAAGATTTTGGGAAGATTTATGGAAAGCATTTTCAATTTATTAACCAACACTTGGAGTTTGTGAACTTGCTCCAAGATTGGTTTATCATCAACCATCTGGAACCTCAAGTATTGAGACACGAGGTATTTATTAGTTCCATCCTCTTGTGCCTTATACTTGAACTCCAGAGCTTTCCATAATTCTCTTGGATCGGTGATAGGAGAGTATAAGTCAAAATACCGGTCGGATAGGGCATTCTTAATATGTCCACAAACAAGAGTTTCCTCTTCTTTGCGGGTAAGCCTCTGCGTCTCCAGATTGCCTATCAATGCCCTATCCAACTCTTTTCCACTTCGGGAACCGGATTCTCATGAATAGGGGTCAAGTTTGGGTCCAAAACATAGTAAAATTTCAACACCATCAACATAAATTTCATTTT